TAATGTTTTGTTTTTTGTATTTTCTGCCATGTGAGCATGGCTTGATAGTATGGCATCTTAATTCGGAATTGTTTTTGTTGAGCTGAATAAGATGGATGGTTATGCAACAATATTATGATTCAATGCTTCCAACCAAAAGCAGGAAATGGAAGTTAGACGTGTTGGTTCTGTCTGCCCACAAAGTTTGTATTATGTACGGAGTAACTGATGACCAAATCAATTCATACATGTTTTCCTATATGTTTTCATATATCAATTTAAAAGCACATATATGTATGTTGCATATAAACTGTAAGAGTTACACACACATTACACTAAAATTTCTTCCTTAAAGGTGGGGTTTTCAGCTGAAACAGAGAAACAGTAAAGCAAGGAAGTGGATCATAGAATTAGGGACGTGGCAGCACAAAACATGTCGTGCTTTAACCCAGTAAAACGTGATAATTAGCAGAAAAATATTGAAATGTTTTTACTGACTGTACTTTAACAGTAGATTTTATTGGATGCTTACATTGCAATGAATCAATGACGGTTGTTGTGTTCAAAATAATAATACTTGTATTGTATGTCCTAACCACGGTGTTGTAGTGAATCCTAGGTGAAGGTGAAGTAGGGTCTCAGGGCCTCTTAGGTGTTAGAGGGGTGGATTTTGACGAATCCACTCTGTTTCGATTTCTAGAATAAGAATTAAGCTCACACATAACATATCTTAATACACGTTCTCATTTTATTTGATAAAGTTGACCTTCCAGGAGTAACCAATGGAAAACCAAGTGTAAACAGAATGTAGCTCGGGGTGGTTTCTATTCCAAAAACAGTGCAATTGTGCTTCCTTTCTCATTTCTAATTATGATAATGTTGTTTTAATAGCAAAATCTCTTGAGTGAGAACTTCAGAAGTGCTAGCATGTTCTGTAAAAGTTGGAAGAATTAATTTGAATGGATTTAACTTATAATAATACAATGAACCAAGACTGACTTAATTTATCTCCTGATTGCGAAAGCATGAAGGTTGCCAAACCGTGTATTATATATTTAGTCATATTTCTTTCTTGACTAATTTCAGTACTTGTTCCTTTTACAGGTCATAGAGAATGGTGAAGAAACTTCAAGCCAGCAAGATGATAACAGTTCACCAGTTCTCTTGAGTGAGTGAATACAGGAGTATAGCGAAAATATTTCAGCTTGTTTGGTTGATATGCCATTACTCAAATAGAGTTGAGGATATATATGGAGCATGTGTGTATAATTACTTTTTTTATCTTGCAGAGTCCAATTTCTTTGTAAAGGTCTCCGAGCGGCAGCAAGAGAAAATTCAACGAGATCAGCCGATACTGGTTGATTCCCCTGAAGGCAATGAAAATCTGTCTTCACCTCCTAGACCTGTTGCAAGTATGTTATATTTTGCAACACTGATGTTTGAGCAGGTCTTATTGATAATAACTGCCAATCAATGTGATTCCCTTTGACTTACAATATATTGCATTGGCTTATCTTCAGATATTTGACACTGAGTTGAAGTTTGGATGTTTTACAAACTTACCTCCCTGACTCATTATAGCTTAAAACTCATTAGAATGTAGGAGTACACCTCGCAAGCTGAAGGGGCATGATAACTCAACTCCAAGAAAGGAAAGGAGGAATTCAACACCCAACAAAAAGATGAAAAGCGGCAAAAGAGAATTATGCTGCAAACAGATCCCATTTGACCTTGCAATGGATGAACAGAAATTGCCAACAATTCCTGATCTCAGATTGGAAGCAAAACTGTCAGCAGAGGTTTGTTAACTGAATCATCATTTCTTTCAGAATCTAGCATAGAAGAATGTATCTGGTTCATAAAAGTTTCAAGAATAAGTTCCTAGCATTTCCTTGCTATAAATGTTTGGTCTCTTGATCTTATATTGCTTTTATTAGGAAAATTCACGTGTATTTTCTGGACGACAAATCCATCCATTTTTCACGTCATGGAAAGGGGGAAAGTCAAGCCAAGATATGATTGATTCAGATAGTAAGTGTTCATCCTTCGAGAGGAAAGAAAAAGGCTTTTCTTTCAACCCTATCCACGTATTTGAGGATGCTGAGGTATTTCATATATTTGTTTGTTCATCTAGAATTGGAACTTGAAGTTATTGTGTTTGGTTACACATATTTATTTGAGATGAGATTTTTATTTTGTAAAATTTGATATATGCATTCCAGGGTGATCAACCGACACTCAACTGGGGAGATTGGATTTTTACTGAAAGAAGTGCCATTGATGATCTAGATTTTGGATGCTCACCAGTTTATGAAGGATCTATTGACTCCTTAAATTTTGATAACTTTCTGAATTCTTCTCATTTCACACGATTTGCGTTATACCAGAACTCTCACTTGTGTTCCGTCGAACAAAATGAGGTTTCTGGGCTGCCCAATAACACAGAACATTCAAATCTCCTCTCACCCATATTAATTGCTGAGGAAAGAGAAGTATGCGTTGACCAACAAAAGGATTGTGTGCTGCCAAAAGATGTAGATGATATAATTGTTGAGACAATTGAATCATTGCAGGTATATATTTTTGCACTTTTTGACATTTGTTTCCTAACTTATTGGAATGAGATGCCATCATGAAGCACATGTCCTACTGGAAACATAGTTTATTTCCAGTGTGCTAACCTTCGTTTCAAAGATACATATATTCCTAATCCATATGGACAACTTTTACAAAAAATCAGGACCATGGGAGCTTGAAAGCTGAGGTCCAGGACAGGCTTCTTGAGGAAAGGTTAGAATTTTTAACTGCTACATGTGAATTAGCCGTATACACCATTTGCAATTATTGAGATAGAGAATATTCATTTCTGTTTTCTTTTGCCAGAGTTAATTAATAGAAATAAATATTCAATTTTCATGCTCCAATGGAACTTTTCTACTGTTCTTCACTGCTAATTGTTGAAACTCTTTGCCTAACAGCGACTAATATCTCAAAGTTTCATTTTTGTTATTGCTATTCAGGATCATGTCCCACTATCATACTTCCCAGAATCTAACAGAGAATTGCTTATGGACAGACAAATACCAGCCTCAGAATGCCAAGCAGGTCTAATATTTCACATAATGAATAAACAATTCTTTATGTTGTCCTAATTTATCAAATATAATACTGTCTATGAAATTTATTAGTGTCTAACAACTCACTGTCCAGAGTGTGGCAATACAAGCTGAATATCTCTATAACTGCACAAAATTGAATTGGAAGATATGTGTACTGTATTAGGCTAACTAGACAAGAGCTGATCCATTAGTTTTTTCAAGTGAAGGTTCCTCAAATGATTTTCCTTATTCTGGTTATGATCTAGAGTAGATGAGATGAGTGTGTTTGGATCTTACTCAAGGTACTTAAATTTGAATGAGTACTTTACTCAAATGGTTTATATTTCTTCTAGAGAATTGCTATATATGGAACAGATATTATTGTGCTTGGTTTGGGTTTCTATTTTCTGTTTGCCGGAGGAATCACCTGTCACGTGTTCCATTAATTAAGTACCAGATTGTAAATCACTCATACGGTATCATTAAAACCACATCTCTACTTTAATTTCACCTTTCTTTCGCCATGTTTCTGATTTCTTGTCTTTTTAATCCGTTCTGTATGCTCTGTTTCTTGTCAGATATGTGGTAATGGCGACTCTGTAGAATGTTTAAGTGAATGGCTTCATAATTGGCACAAAACAGGCACCCAAACCAGTAGAGGTTGTATAAATGGAGATCATTCAAAAGATAGCGATCTTGATTATGTGGATAGTGACTCTGATACCGACAGTGTTGAAGAAAGCTTGAAGAATGTTCTCTTAGTGACTGGACCTGTTGGGGTATTTATACATTTTTGTGCCTTCTGGCTTTACCTTCAGAAAATAGCATTTTTCTGATAGCTGTGGGAAGAAATTTAGCTCTGTTTATCTACATAACCATCTTCATTATTATTAAAAATTCACTGGATATGGTACCTAAAATTTAAAGTTAAATACATTTACTTAAAGCTTGGTTCCTTCTAATCTTTCCCATAGTTAAATAAGTAAAATGCACTTGCCAGCAGCAAGTTTCTTGCAGCAAGTTTCTTGTGTAGTAGTTATATGAAAATGAAGTATTCAATCACTGGTGACTGAAAATTCTTGCTTACTTTACAGAGTGGGAAATCAGCTGCCATATATGCATGTGCCAGGGATCAAGGATTTCACATTATTGAGGTACTTATTGGAAAAAAGAAATGTTGACCTCATATTAAGACAGTACCTGCGTTTTTGTTAGCATCTTATGGCAGTGAATCTAGTGCGTGAATGGTGCGGAGTGTTGAGGAAATATTATTTGTTAGCATCTGATGGTAGTGAATCTAGTGTATGAATGGTTGCCAGTTGCATACGAGGTGTTTGCTTCTACAGCATGTTTTCATGGTCAGTTTTTTGCAGCTGAGATTTAATGATTTATGCACATCCTTCAGACCAGTTCTTTCGTGAGAGTGGGCTAAGCTGGCTCTCACCAATCACACAGGACTTACATCATCTTAAAGTGCAAGACCCTTGTATGTGCTTCACATTTTATGGTTTGATCCTGTTAGAAATTGTTCAAGGAACTTGAAGATACTGAGTCGGAGTTCTTCCTTGAACTACAAGTTGTACTATAATTTCCTAAAACCTGGTAAAGAGTGGGATTTTTCTGTTGTGGCATCCCGAATTCCCTCTTGCCCATGAGAGCCTGGGTTAGGTCCTAGAAGTTCCAAATTAGTTCCTGCATGTGTTACCACATTACGTGTTTTTTGGTAATGACTTGTGTTTGGTGAAGTGTAGTTACAAGGAGTTTCTCAATTTATTCTAAGTTGTTTCTCCTCTTAACCTAGATAAATGCATCAGATTGGCGTAATGGAGCTCTAGTAAAGCAAAAATTCGGCGAGGCTGTGGAATCTCATTGGCTTCAGCGGTTCGTATAGTATTAATTATTGGCTTTAGATTTAATAGCCAGTCTACCTAGAAAACATATGTTCTTAAATGCAGATACAAAAAATTCTTATGAAGTACTACTAACATATCCAAAAATGCCTATTTTTGTTTCAGCACAGTTGAAAATGCAACAAAATCAGAAAACAAATCCCTACCAAAGTTTTTTAAGCCTGTCAATGCAGGCATAGAGTCATCTGATGATGAAGTTATTGAAGTGACACCTTTATCGGATAAGAAAGATGCTCAAGATATTGACTCATGGCCAAAAATATCAGCCCCTGAGCATAATCGATCTTCTAATTGTCAGAGTGAGATTAAAACCTTGATTCTTTTTGAAGATGTGGACGCCACTGTTGAAGAAGATCATGGTTTTATTTCGACTATACAACAACTTGCTGAGACAGCCAAAAGGCCCATGATACTAACGAGTAACAGTAAGATGTCCTAATAGTTATATCTGTGATCTGAAGCATTTTTCTTCTAATCAACTAATTATAGTTATTTTTTAGGTGATTTTCCTGTCCTTCCAAAGAATTTGGATAGGTTGGAGTTAAGTTTTTCTGCTCCATCAATGGACGAGCTTATTGGACTTGTCTCTAAGGTATGAGTTCCTACAGAATCTTCTGGTCAGATTTTTTGTATAGCTCTCTTTTTGGTATGATATCGTGACACCCTTCTAGATTTGTGCTGCAGAGAAAGCAAATATCCATCCTTGCTTGATAGAAAGATTTGTTAATTATTGTGAAGGTGACATTCGGAAAACCATCATGCTTCTCCAGTTTTGGTGCCAGGGTCAAACACCTGAGAGAGGTAATTTGTCTTCACCTTCTCGCTGGTTTTTCTGTTGACAATGACTTCATGTATGACAGAAATGAGAAAATACGGATGTTGAAAAAGGTCAAACCCTCATTGCCTAAGAGAATCCAGTAAATATAATTGATGGTTGTTCGCCACTTGCAATCACCATAACCATAAAAATGAAAAAAGGAAAAAAAAAAAAAATAGTGCATTTTCTGCCTAACCAGCCTCTGGATCTTCCATGGTTTTATTTCAATTAAGCATAAAGTTTTTGCACCTGGGACAACAAAGATACACTTGTGGTGTCTCTGACATATCCTCTTTTACTTTAAAATATATCCAAACAAATGTCATGTTCTCAACATAGCAACTTCCAGATATGCATGCATTAGAACCCAAAAAATCTTATCTGCCATTATCTTGTATTTGAGAGAGCTAATTGCGATGAATGGCGGACAACTTTCAACCAAACATATTGCAACTTGTTTATTTCAATAAATACCAATTTTTTGTTTAAGTTTAAATTTAATTTTAATTCATTTCTGTTACTGGTATATTTCAGTTTACAATAGAACTTGATTTTGTAAATTTGCCCAGGTAATAAACTGCACCCAACATACTGGCCATTACTCTTTGATCTAGACGCCGGGCATGACATCCTACCGAGAGTAATCCACTGGGGTCACCCTTCACAGCTGTCTGAGCGTGTGGCTGACACGATTGTTAAGTCTTTGACCTTGATGAAACAAACCCATTGCTTAACAGACACAAAGGTAGAGGACATGAACATTTATGGCATGGAAGATAATAATATTTATGCCCATATTGCTCACCGAGACCCTATCGAAGTGAAAAAAGAAGCAATGTTAAGCCTGCAATGTCCGTTTGATGAAGTTGAATGCGCACGGTTTGATGCCAATTCTGAGCTTTATGATTTCTCTGGCTCCCCAATTGCAAAAGAACAGCAAAAAAACCGTAGAAGGACCAATATGGTTCTTTCTTCTGATTCTGAGGATGAGTACATTCCCTCAATAGATTTTAATAGTAAAATTCTTGAAACGGAAAAAACACCAACTTTTGATTCTGAAGAACAATTGGAGAACAGTTTTCAGCTTGTCGAAAGAGGAGATTTTTCTCAAATGGAATATGCTTGTGAATCACGAGATGTGTCATGCGTTCCAGAATCCTCATTTGTTCCCGAGACGGAGATTCTCAATGAGACGGAATTATACTCCACGGCAGTGTCTTATGGTCATTTTATCGATAAAACAGGGGAGATTTGGATATTCCAAGATGAAGATTCATTACTTTCCAATTCAGAGTACACGAAAGCTTTGCATGTAACGTGCAACGATCTGGAAATGCTAGAAAATAATTCCAATTGTGCCACAGTTTGTGTCAATCAAGAGGAGGTGGGGGACTCCCTTTTGAAATTCGAGGGGGATGGTCCGGGAAGATATCAGCCGTTGGATGAGTGTAGCCGTATGGATTTCATGAGATTGAAACCTTTTGAAAACTCCGAGGCTGATCAGCCGACTGATTTCGTGAAAAATGCGTGGAAAAAGCTTCAAGAAGGATGCGAGGGTTTAAGCAGTCATGTCACTGTGGAGGAGAAAACTGCTCGACGGGGCTTGATATTTACTCATGGAATGAGTGATTTGATCTCGGATGCTGATTTGCTATTGAAGGACTGCCAGACTTCAGTTTTCGTTAGTGCTGTGCCCAATATGATGCTACTTAATTTTTGGGTAAAACATTTGTTCCAACCTATAGTATACGTGTTTTGGGATTTGCAGCCTACTGTATTTTTCATTGTAAATTGCAACATGAACATTCATAATTTGCATGCTCACCTACTTCTTGACCATACGATCATCCGCAAAAATGGACACGTGCATGATCAAGATGTAGGTGAGTATGCAGATTATGAAAATTCATTAAGTTCAAGTTGCATTTTACAACGAAACATAATGTAGGTTGCAAAACTCAAAAACACATACAGGTTGGAAAAAATTATTTACCCTTCATTTTTTCATTATAGTTATTTTGAATTTTAAAATGTGATTTATGTGCATATATTTGCAGGATTCTTTGGGATCATCAATGGTTCTTACTGAGAGAACGCATTTGTATACCTACTATGATTGTCAAATGGAGATGTCGTCTGTTCTTGCTCAGCACGGGATATGTTTCTACGCTAAGGAGATTGCCTCCTTGGGTTCGGTTGTTGGGCCCACAGACATCTCGGTTTTGGCCTCAGAAATGGTGTCTTCATCATCAAGCTCAGTTGCACTGGGGAAGTTGGCTAGTCAGGACCAAAGAAAGGCCTTCGGGTCTGATAGTAACACAACTAAACGTCCCAATGTTTTGACGAGGTACAAGATCTACCCTTAGTTGTTCCAAATACTGTTTATATTATATTTTTGTATTTATTTTAATTAATTTTTCCTATTGCTGTTGTAGTCAGTGATTGGGTAAAAAGAGAAAGAAAATTGAAGTACCAGACCCTTTAGTTACAAAAATTAAGTAAAAAATAACTACACAATTGATAAAGTATTTCTATATCATACATAATATAAATAGTAACATATAAATATAAAATAAATGATAGTATTCATTTTCTGTAACAATTTGATAGATTGAAAAGGTGCTCGGATATTGTCTTCAAGTAGAAACAATGCCGTTTTTTATTACTGAACCAAAAACATTCTGAGCTACAGCGTGGATTTTTGCCGTCTGCAAAATGATCAACTTATTTACGACTAAAATCACTGTTTTTTTTTTTCCTTTTTTCTATAAGTAGCAAATCAGACTCACCTTTGAGCAATATACTTCAAACCATAATCCCCTCAAGATCATACCTAGCTGCAATGGGCCCTGCATTTCACGAGTACATCTCAACTTTGAGCCAGATTTCAAAATATGAAGTCTCCCGTTTATCCGAATGCACCAGAAAGAAGCAAAGAAGGTATTCACTCCCGTTCTTTTTTTTTTTTACTGCAATCTCCGAAATTATCTTTTGACCAACAGTTTTACTGATTTACGACAGAGCACGTGCGCCACGTCATTATCTCACTTCTGGTTCGTTAGCTATGACATCCGAAGAAATATCTTTGTTGAGTCAATACACTGGCTATCAAAACACTCCCTTATCTTCTTAGCAATGAATGTTTTAGACGAAACATCTAAATCAAATAATGCATTTAACGTGATTAACTTATTCCTAGTATCTTTTTTTCTCCGGTTCAATGTGTACACCTTTACAGCGAGGGAACTTTAGGTTTGAAAACCGAAATTGCTTCTTTTGTTATACTTGCAGCTTGAATGCAAGAGATAGGAGATTTAACAGGTAGTATTTCATGTAGAGTGTAAAATCACATTTCCCTCATAGTAAGTCTATAATTGAGGTTCTTTCTATCTGTGTTGTTCGATTGGGCACTTGACTGTCAATAAAAAGATTAGTTTTTATTTCGAAAAACATTGTATTTTTGCCTTTTGAAATCTTTGTGACATTGTGAGCTGCCGTTGCTAAAGTTATCGTTGAACTGAGCCAAACTGAGCTCGAGTTTGAGCTTGAACCAAGTTGAGTTCAGTTTGTTTATCAATATTAACAAGTTGAGTTATAGTAAATTAAATAGAAGTTTCTATTATCGACTTAATGAGCTTTAGCTCAGCTCGTTTTTTAGTGACTTGAATAAAAGTCTCAGGAGTCAGGACTATGCAGAGCTGCATGTGAATGCTTAAGTGTATGGCTTTGTAAGACTGTAAGGGACCCCTCAGAAATTTGAAATAATTGGACCAGTGGCAGTTGGAGAAGAAGAAAGAAAGTATTTTAATTTTCATTTTGATCCCTGAAAAAATGATATTCCCGATATATGAAACTGACAATCATAATTTAAATTATAGGGTAAAAAAAGACAAATAAAACATTGACTACTACATAAAGAGATGCTCACAAAGCACCACATTTGCACACAGCACAAAGGCCAACTAATAAGAGCAAATCAAGTTTTTTTACTTTTTAATATATATATTTTTTACGGTTTTGTACGAAGCCAATAGTTGACTTTTTAGTGGAGTCAACCTTTTATATACAACAAATAAATTTACTATATTCTCTGATTACTTAAATAACACGAATATAATTTTGTTAATATGGTAGGTTTATTTGTTGTACATAGAAAGTTGGCTCCACTATGAAGCTAACCGTTGACTCCATAGCAAAACCGATATTTTTTATTTATGTTGTATTATTATTATGAGTTCCATTTCTATTTTTTTAACCAATCCCTATTTTTTCAAGTACTAGTTTGATGAAAGATAGAAAACTGCAAAATGTGCCATGGTGGCTAGGGTGAATGGATACATATATATATATATTTTTCTATAGTTCAATGATATAAGAAATTTTCACAAAAATAGTATTTATTTAATTTCACTTGTTCTCTAAAAATTCTACTAACCCAATCAGAAAATACAAAATAATTATTATGAAATATATTTTAATAAAAATATTTGTAATTTCTATATTTCGAACTATATATATTATTGATTAATATTTTATTATTTTTATATCTCATTACCATTGAACAATATATTTTTTAATTGATATCCATCTACAATCTAAAGGTTCTCTAATTTTTTCTTTAAAACCGTTGTCACTTTTTTATCTCATTTTTTTTTTCCTAACTAGACTTTTTTTTTAAAAAAAAAAAAAAAAAAACTCTCATATCCAATCCCCACCTAAGAGCAACTCTAGCTGCATCTCCATGCTACTTCTGATACATAAACAGTACATCGCCAGCCACATTTTTTTTTTTCTTTTTGTATAATTCTACAACTTGTGTCTAAAATTGTACATATATTTTAAAATATTTTCTTTCTTGCTTTTTCTTTGTTTTATTTATGAAAATGTATTAATCTACAATTGTGTTTACAATTGTACATATATTTTACAATAATTTTTTTTTTTTTTGCTTTTTCTTTCTTAAAATATATATTTTACAATAATGATTTTTTTTTGTGCTTTTTTTTCTTAAAATATAAAATGCATATCTTATCAGAAAATAACATATCTCATTTCTTACCTTATAAAGATAATGTTGAATATATTTTATGACTATTATATATATTGTTTGTATTTATTTATATTGTTTGTATGTTGTTTGCAAACATTATAAAAAATATTTGTTGATTATAATTTTTTAAATGAAATAATTTTTAGATATATATATATATATATATATATATATATGTGTGTGTGTGTGTGTGTATGTGTGTGTGGTTGTGTGTGTATGTATTGTTGTTTTGTTATAACATATAGTAACAATTTTATGACTTAGATTACCCGTTCAGAATTAACTATAACTTTTTAGAAAATACTTAATTAATCTTCTAATTAATATAAATAATATTGTATTTAAGTCTATTCATGTCAATCATATAATGATAATTTAAATAACTAAATATGTGTAAGATAATATATTTCATAAAATTAGATTTGTGTAAGATAATATATTTCATAAAATTAGAGTTTTGGTATTAAAAAATTTTAAATAATAAGAATAAAATATAAATATTCATGTAGAGTAAAATGTAGCGCGAACGGTTGAAAATGAACTTTGATTGTTGGCTAATCTCTAGAGTAGAGTAAATTCTACGTTGGAGTATAAATAATGGTTGAAGATGGTCTAATGTCCCATTTGCCAGTGCATCTTCAAAAATAAGTTTGAATGAATTTTTAGATGCTTTGAACTTTTTCCAATCTTCTATGGGAGTCAAGAGAATTCACTAGTAGTTGGAGGACGAAATAGCAAATAAAAAATGTGGATCATCATGTAGGCCTCCCCGAATTAAACGGGAGCAATAAATATGAACGTACGACCATTTTTTCTGCTTCTGAGTTAAAAATTCCAAAATGTGTAAATTTTCGAGGGCCCATTGACATTTGCTCTTAAAATTTTACTTATGAGTTCATACACAGTTTAGTTTTTTTTTTTTAAATTTTATTTTGTCTTTATTCTTTTATTTTTTTTTAGTAGCCAATCACGATATTCAGAGCTATACCCGCACACCTAACAGTGGTAGGTGAGTCTCCCAACAAGGGTTTTCTGTATCCACAAGGACTTGAACCCGAGACTTTGCTTAAGCGACATTAAGCTGCTTACCACTTAAGTCAACCTGTTGGTAGTCTTTATTCTTTTATTAATACTGAATCTTCATTAGCAGCGTGAATTTCCGTTGCAATTTAACGTATTCAAATTATAGTACCAAGTCATTTCATAAATGTTTACTATACCTAATTCTTTGTTGAAATTAATTGTTTCAATAAATGAAATATTCTAGCTTTTGTAATTAATTAACATATTTAATAATATATGGGAGATTCTATGGTCTCGGAACTATTCCGTCGGGGTTTGTAACCGTTAAATCAATTATCCACGACGGTTACATGATGATCTAACAGTTACAAATCCCGACAGAATAGTTCTCATTTTCCATAACATATACTCCCTATAAGAGTATTTTTATTCATTTACTATAGCTTTTGTACTTTTTTTCATATGTATATATGTGTGTGTGTGTATATATATGTTTTTTGAAAATTAAAATATCACATAAAAAAAATAATTTAAATAAAAGTATTATATTTGAAAATATAAATATTCAGTTTTACTATAAATATCAGAGCTTATTTTATTTTTTTTTTGGTACAGGGACCTTCCGGTTTCTGGATCCACAGGGGAACCGACTAATCTGGAATCGAGCCGGCAGAGTTTTTAACACTGCTGTATTCTCAGGGCTCGAACACGAGACCACTGGTTAAACTGAAAGAGACTCAAGCCATCTCATCCAAGCGCTCTTGGATGCGCTTAAAATTTTTTCCCAATTAGTGAAGTGCCATAAATGGTAATAGTAAAGGTGAATTTATTGTTGTCATGAAAAAAGAGCACTGAGCAGTTAACAGTAAATATTCAGTAATAGCAACTGTGTTAAATTGTTATTAAAATCAGTATTATTAAAATCCACAGTATGCTTTTGTGCATCATTGCCTGCCATTTATTGCAGTAAAAGAAAGGGACCAGACTATTTGATTTTTTTTTTTCACTTTGTTTTTACTGCTTATAAATTTAGAACCATTGAACCATTGAACCAATAGATTCACCGGTTCGGTTTTTAGAACATTGCATGTTATCCATCAAGTTCAAGACTAATTTAACTATGGATACACAGAGATGGCTTAAATGATTAGATATGAATACTTAAAATACTTATTTATGTTATGAACTGTCATACACGTTTGTATTATTTTATAAAATACGATGTTTTCTAATAAAACTATACACATTTATGAAAGAAAATCATATCAGCTTAATGATTTAAGTATTGTGTCATGAAAAACTTACCAGTGCACATTATAATAAAACACAGTTGCTATGAGTACAGATAATTATTTTGAACTATAACTTAGCAAATTGTTAAAGATGGTGAAGGGGAGGGGCAAAAGAAAAAAACAAACATTAAGTTAGGACTCTAAATAATGAAAAAAATAATCCACACAAAGCTGAATATCCATTAATATTTTTATTTTTATTTTTAAAAAAATGTAAAGC